GTCGCCTCACCGCACAGGCTCCACAGGAAATGAATGGAGAGCGAGCGACGTCGCCTCCCGTGTGTCGAGCCCTTTAGAATTACTGTGTGTATCGGTCTAAAAGGCTCTTCCAGTAGATTATTTCAGCTTAGACATCTTTAGTGTTGGACAAACTTTTCATAAGGGCCTTAGGAAGCTTTTACAAATAAATTAGAAGGCTGGACTAGATGCTAATGTTAGCCGAATGCTAATCCAGTGTTGGCTAGTTTGAATCAAAATAACTTTTTCTATTATTTTTGTTTTCATTTATCTTAAGTTGAAGAAATGCCATACAAATTGAACAATTTAAAGTTTTAGAAATGTTGCAAAGTTTAAGTAGCTTAGCTTCTCGAAGCTAAGTGTTAGCGCCCATCATCAGGAGGGAACTGAGGGTGAATAAGGTTCAAGTTTAGACGTTTAAAAGAAAGTTGTATTTGGAAAACACAACCGTTCAGAGATAGTCATTGTGTTCACCTCTTCCTGCGCTCATCTAGTTCTTCTTCCTCACCCTTAATCCTCAGTTGACTAACAGTAAAGAAGGAACAAAGGAGACCAGGAGAGACGTCCACACAAAACCCCCTGTGGGTCCGTCCCGCAGTTCGAACCTGCAGCGAGCTGGCAGCGTCAAAGACCTGATCGGGAAGTTCTCTGGTCCCGATCGCGTCTCGTTTTTCAGTTCACCGATGAGGTTTAATTCTGGGCCCCGGAGAGTCGTAAAGTCTGTTTCAATGGAGGCTCTTAACTCGCCGAAGTCCAAGTTGGGTCTGATCAAGCTGAACCCGTCCCCGCCGCTGAACGTCGGACCGATCGAGAGTTCAATTCCCAGCATCGTTGTAACTCCGTTCAGAGAAACGGCAAAGAACGGAACTGATTTGACTCAGAAACCTGCCACAAACAGTAGGATTGCTGCAAGAGTTGATTGTCCAGTAGGGGGCGGCGYTCAGAAGACTCACTTGAAACCAGGACCCAAACCACAAACTGCTAATTCTGGTAGAGACTCGGTGGCTGACTCTGCCGTGGGACTGGTAAGACCTAAACAGAAGTTATCTTCAGAACAACCACTCCTGCATGAATCAAAAATGACTCCTGTGTCTCTGGTTGATGACATCACAGCAGCATGGCATGGCTGTTTTTTTTTCACATGATTAAAGCATCGATCCGCATGACATGAAACCATCAATCCTACTAATCAATAATGGCTCAAACTCATTGCCTGATCAAACAAATCTTTGATTCTCTTCCTCTTACAGAGTGCTGTGTTGACATTTTTAACTTTAGTTTGATTAAATAACAAAAACCTCCGACCGKTTTGACAATCTGCTGCAAGTTAATTTTTGGTTTAAACCTGTAATTTTTAATAAGCTGGGTTTGTTGTGTTTTTATTTTTACAATTCAAGGTGTAATTGTGTGTTTTTTGTCTTCATTTGCATGTTTTAAAAAAGGAAATCCYAAGTGAGTGCAGAGCAACAAAACAAACTAAATCTACATGTTCAGATCCAATCAGAACCGAGTTTTAGCTTTCAGAAATGAAGATGGTTGTTATTTCGTTTAGATAAAGACATTGTTTTGTCCACAGCTGCTACAAAACAAACAGACAATATATATTCTGTTTTAAGAGTAGTGATGTTCACAAACGAAACACATCTTTTCAATGACTCTTTACAACAGGAATGGGGTTGTGGGCAGTAAAGAGACGTTTGTAGTTTCAGTTTTATATTCCTTGTCTTTGTTTTCCTCAACCACAGAGACAATCGCTCCTTTGCTTTTTCCCAGGAAACAGGCAGAGCTGTGGGAAACAGCRGCTCAGGGGAACACGGGGAGAAGGGTTCTGTTTGACAGAACACATGGTTCTGCCCACGTGACGAGATGTACTTCACTACGTGATGACATCTTYAAAATCAAACGGCTCTTTTGAATGGATCTRTGAAATAAACGTCTCCTCAAGATCCAGATCTCTTCACAGTTATCCCATCTGTAGTTTTTATAATCTACTTTCMCTTCTGTCGAGGTTAAAGTTGAGGTCAGTGAATGAAGAGTTAAACATTTTATGGGAGGACACCTAGTTTGGCTCTGGGGTTTTAATGCTCCCTAAACCTAACCAAGCTGACATTTGGTCTTCTTACACCTAACCATGTTGGGTTCTGGTGTTCCTAAATCTAAAACAGTTGGGTTTTGGCATTTAAAGAGTAACTTACCCCAAAATTAACTTTTTTTAGCTGATAAACTGTCTAGAATGTGTCTAAAATGTTCTATAGTACTGTTTCTGTGC